ATGATATTCTACTCTTGTTTGAAGATGCAGATTCCTTGTTGGACATTCACAAAATCATAGAATCACTCACASGCACCCAGCATACAGAGTCTCATAGTCGTATATCTTTAGTAGTCGTCATCATGATATATCAAAGTGACTGATTACAACCCTACAATATTGGAAGTCCTCAGGTCTAAGGACTAAAGAGACTTTGCATATGAGAGATTCAAGCAATTGACAATGACAGGGGACTCCTTTTGATGAACCAATCTCTGGATATTATTAATGTGTATCCCAATGCACATCTACATTGTAGTCTAAAGTCTCACCCAAATGGCTGAGATCAAACCATATAACCATACATGTGCTAACCATTACCTAAACATGCCCTTAGTTAGGATCAAGTTTATAAAGATGAATCCCATGATGAATCTCACTCACCACTTGGATACTCTACAATATTCCCTAGGGGAAAAAGTCATAAAGATAAACAATTGTAGAACAAATGCCTCAAAAAAAAAAGTTTCAACTTTATTAGAAGAAAGAATGTAAACAAAATACATTTGGCTTTAATTGAATACATAGAAATCTCATTTCCAACACTTTGTACATCACTTTTGTTTCTAAATATAGGCAACATAGTGCTCTTTCTCCATTCATCCAGTATCCTCTTAGGTTACATCATTTTATTAAATAGGTTTACCTCCCCCACAACTTCTAACACTTCATTTGGGATACCATTAAGTCCTAATGTTTTCCCTTCTTCATTTTATTAAATGCTCTTTCACTTCAGAAATTCAAGCTTTACAAAGGTATATATTATTTTTTGTACTATTTGAGTTACTAACCATTCTTCCATTAGCACCCTCTATTTGTTCTTCGTTTCTTTTTTTTTTTTTTTGATCAGCAAGACTTCATTAATAATTTTTCAAAATAGTTTTTCCAACTTTCCAAGTTGAATTGACTTGAATCACTGTAACTGGTCAAAGTTCCATGTCTAATTGTGAAGGTTAGACCAAATCAACTAGTTTTGTAATCTGATTAGAACTAAAAAAATAAGAATAGATAATTTTGAGGTAAAACCAATAAGTGCCCTGGAGTAATACCCATTATGACCTTCATGCCCCCCTTTGTGCTGTAGACGAAGTACCCCACAAGGTAAGTTCATATCATCAAAAAACTACAAAAATCAAACATAAATTAGTTAATCAACATCTTTTTCCAGTTTAACAAGAGAATCAGGAGAAAAATAAAAACAGGAAAGATGAGTGAAAAGAATAGTACCACCACAACACGATTGAGTGGCATCTTATAGTATGCTGCAAGTGGTCCAGTCTGCAATAAATTAAACCAATACCAAAAATAACATATTAACATATATTGAATTTTCATATAAATTGGAAAGACCATGTAAAACTGATTCGGTTTATAACAGAAAGGTTTATTGGAGTTTTCAGAAGTGCTGAAAAGAATAAGGGTTAGCTGATTCCAAAGGTGTTCATGGATTTCTCTCTTTAGGGAAGGTTTATTGGAGTTATCAGAAGTGCTGAAGAGAAATGAAGGATTGGGGCTGGGCCCTTGCTTTTACCTTGAAGAATTGTAGATATATGAGGATCCAATCAGATCAAGAGGGGCTGAAGATCAATCCATAAGACAGCTGAGTTGAACTTGACCTTGAAGCTATTGACAATTCTTGATTCAAACTTGATTGCATCAAGTTTTTTTTCTTTGAGGAAATCCTAACTTGAAGATGAGAATGTTTCAGAGAATCAAAGTAAAGAGTTTTTTCTTTGAGGAAACCAGTCTTAATGAAAAGGTTGCCATGAAGATCAGGGAGAATAAGAGGGCTGCAGTTTTTTGGTTGGAGAAGCTATTTGCTGGTTTAAGGATTTAGTTGAGGATTTGATTTTCTTCAGAGACAGGGAAGGGTGGAGATCAGTGAAAAAAATGGGAGGGAGGAGATATGTTGCAGACAGAAGAAGTAACTCGAAAGGAAGCTTCATTGCCCTTTGGGAGTTCTGTGGGAGGGGAAAGAAATAGTTAGTCTGCTTTTCTGAATAGTGGAGGAGCAATGGTTGGAGGGAGACACTTAGGCTCATGGAGGAATTCGAAAGAAATATAGAGAAAAAGGTTTCAGACACCAAAACAGAACAAGATCTATTGAAGGTGACAGTGACAGGTAATATGGGAGATGTCAAATTGGTTATCAACAGAAGGAAAGAACGTCTGGAAAGCAGATTTGTGGTTGCAACAAAAGAGAAGGTTGAAGATTGGCGTGAATTGGAGCTGTGGTCAGTGACTTTTTGAAACTAAAAGGTTCGCTAATGCTAACAACTTTTGACAAGAACAAAGCATTACTGGACTTTTTGTATGAGGAGATTGATCTTGCTGCTTCTTCATTCCAAACTGAGCTTGTTCAGGTTTTAATTTCATATTGGTGTCCAAGCTCTAACACAAAGATTGTGCAGTGCAATGATGGCATCATTTTGAGCATTTTGGGTCTGCCTTTTCACCTGTGGTAGCAATCAGCCTTTGAGTTGATTGCTAAAGCTTGTGGAGGTGGTTTGAGAACTTTTTTTTTTTTTGCTAGACTTGATTTCAGCAGCAGTTCTGTTGATGGGTGTGAAGCCTGAAAAGATTCCAAGGAAAATAGAAGTGTTCTCCAATGGTAGATTCTACTGTATCTGGCTTACAACTTCCATTGAAGCTGCTATGTGGAATGCAGGCCACAAGATGGAATACAAACAGTTCAAGAGGATGGAGCTTCACAAGGAGTTTCCCTTGGTGCTTCAGGTTCCTTGAACGGTGTTAAAGTCTAGCCAGTGGGGGTATTTTAGTCTTTTTTTCTCTCTTGTTATATGTTTGGTTTGTCTCATGTTATTTATAAGGGCAGAATTAATTTTACAATTATTAGAGCTTAATGAAACAAACGGTCGATAGAGAGAGGATGAAACTCCTGAGTTCTCTAACTAAGAAAACCCTTCTTTTCTTCCTCCTTTCTTCTTCACCATTTCTAACTCCTTTCTCTTCTGACCACACACTTTTCTTGACTTCCTTCTCTTCTTTTCTCATTTTTATTTCCTTCAAGTAGAGAACATCTTCTATTCAGCAAGGGGAGAGAAAGAGACCATAAAGAACTGATCACCCTGTAGGAAAGAAGGCCTCTATGCCTCCAACCGTGACAGCTGGTGAGTTTTCCATGGTTTTGTAGAGGTCCCCTATTCGGCAATTCGAAGGACCAGTGGTTAGTGCTTCATTTGGTGCGGCAGTTGAAGGCTTGTTTGTGGTGATTGAATGGACTGTGGTGGTGTGGAAGAAGATCAGTTTTGAGTATGTAAAGTCCAGAAGTGGTTCAGGTTAGAATGTGGTAGATTGTGGGTGTTCTTCCTTGTGTTCGAAGATAGTACAGTAAGTGTCCAGAAGCAACTGTATTTAGGTCAAGATAATGTGACGAGGATATATCAGTTGTATTATGACTAATTCACTCTCCAGCAGAGTGATAAGAGTGTGGAGGAATATTAGGCTGCATTGAAGAATCTGAGAAATGAGTTAAATTTTTTCAACAAGAACAATGGGAACATCTGGATATTGCAAGGTTCTTATCCAGCTTGAGGAGTGAATTTGAACCAGTGAGGGCTCAGATTTTAGGCAGTAGCGACCTCCCATCTCTCTCTGAAGTGTTTTCTCACATCCGGAGAGCCTCAAACCCACATAATGACAACATTTCCATGCCAGAGAGGTCTACCTTGGCAACTATTAGAGGAGGTGATGGAGGTAGGAATACGCATGGTAGAGGAGTTATTAGAGGAGTGAGTCATGGGCTTAAAGGTGGCCGAAGTGGTGGAAGGGTGTCAACTGGTATGAAGGTGGTGGTAGAAGTAATGGTCCAGGCCTAGTCTGAGAGTGCTCTCGTTGTGGTCGTGAGGGACATACTGTTAACTTTCGCCATGACTTACTGGCCCACTATCTTCTTGAGCTAATCATGCCATTGCGGGATGTGATAGTGGTAACAAAATTTCTACTGAGAAGGTACCTCTTTCAAGAGTGGGTAAGGACAAGGATTTGGTCTCTATCACCCGTGAAGAGTATGAAAGACTTCACCTGTCTTCTTCCGGCACAACTGCCACCCTTGCACAATCAGGTACAGCCTGTCTTGTCTCCAATTCTAAATGTAATTCTTAGATAATTGACTTTAGAGCTTCAGATCATATGAATGAATCTCCAGACATGTTTATGTCCTTGTCTTCTCCCTCCATATCTCAAACCGTAACCTTAGCTAATGGAACTTCTTCCCCTGTTTTTGGTACTGGTAATGCATCTCTTAGTTCTGACATCAATTTGAATTCTGTTTTCTATGTGCCAATTTCCTCTTAGTCTTTTGTCTATAAGTAAGCTTACTCAGTCACTCCATTGCTCAATAACCTGTTATCCCTCATATTATGTGTTTCAAGATCTCCAGACAGGAAAGACAATTAGTGGCAGTTGTGAAGCTAGAGGATTGTACTACCTGAATGGCAATGGTCCACAAAAGGCTCTCCACTCATCATTTACTCATCAATGGCATTGTCGCTTGAGTCATCCCTCTCTCTGTATTTTACAGAAATTAGTTCCTACTTTAGAGTCAATATCTCAGTTGGAGTGTGAGTCATGTCAATTGAATAAACATCATAGAGTTTATTGTGTTCAAAGGGAAGATAAAAGAGTCCTGCATCCTTTTGTGCTTGTTTACTTAGATGTTTGGGGTCCTAGTCGAATGTCATCTTATAATGGATTTAAATATTTTCCTTCATTGATGATTATTCAAGAATGACATGGATTTATTTAATGAAAAATCATTTTGACCCGTCTTCTATATTTCATTGCTTTCATGATAAAATGCAAAATCAATCTGGTGTGTGTATCAAAGTATTTTGTTCAAATAATGCTAAAGAATATTTTCTTGGGGATTTTTAAACCTATTTTGACACTCATGGTATTATACACCAATCCTCCTGTTCTCACACACCTCAACAAAATGGTGTGGCTGAACGGAAAAATTGTCATGTAATTGAAACAACTCATGCTTTGTTGATTCAAATGTCTATACCTAAGACATACTAGAGTGATGTTGTTCTCACCTCATGTTTTCTAATCAACCGCATGCCTTCATCTGTTCTTGATGGAAAGTCTCCTTTTTCTATTTTATTTCCCTGGGTTTCTCCTTTCTCTCTTCCTCTTTGTGTTTTTGGTTGTCTGTTTTGTCCACAAGTTGGGTCCTAACCATGATAAACTTGACTCTTGTGCCATCAAATGTGTTTTTCTTGGTTATTCTCATGCACAAAAGGGGTATAAGTGTTATGATCCAAATCTCCCAAGGCCTTTGTTGTTCCCAATGTTACATTCTTTGAGAGTTTGCCTTACTTTTCCAAACAAGAACCCTCTCCCTCTGTTCCTCTTCCTTCTACTTTAGGTAATGTATTTATCCCTCTTCCTACTTCACAGGAGCCTCTATGACCATGATTCACAGAGCGTACTCTAGACAAGAATGAGAGCCAATATATCCACCTCTAGTTTATGATACACCTCCAACGGCTTTACCGTCAACAAATCCTCCATAGTCAGATCTTGATCTTCCCATTGACCTTCGTAAGGGTAAGCGTGCTTGTATTAATCATCCTATTTTTCGTTATGTTTCCTTCGCTCACTAACTCACTTATCTCCTTTCCATCAGAAGTTTGTTTCTCTCCTTTCTTTTGTTTCGATTCCTTGTTCAATCCAGGATACCCTTACTTCTCCTAACTAGAAGAAGGCAATGGATGAAGAATTCCATGCTTTCCAATCTAACTATACTTGGGATCTCACCTCCTTTCCTCCGGGGAAGCAAGCAGTTTGTTGTCGATGGGTATATACAATTAAACATCGACAAGATGGTAACATTAAATGATTTAAAGCACGACTGGTGGAAAAAAGGTTACACACAAACCTATGGTGTTGACTACTCAAGAACCTTCTCTCCAATTGCCAAGATGAGCTTTGTACAAGTGATTATCTCCTTACTACTCACTTTAACTGACCCTTATTTCAGCTTGACATCAAGAATGCCTTCCTTCATAGTGATCTTCAGGAGGAGGTGTATATGGATCAACCCCCTTGGCCTTGGGTTCAATTGTGTTCTCATCATTTTCTTTCAATATATTTTCCTCTTTATTTACCTTCCAAAAAAACAAGGCATCACCCGCAAATACAAAGGAACATATAACAAAACAAAAAGGGAAGATAAACAAACAAAAACAAGTGCTCTTGCTTCAACTAATCAAAGACTCGATGAAATCCAAAAATCAGAACCAAAGTCTTCTCTCTTAGAATCTTTAAACTGTGGATGAAAAAGCATCCAATCCACCAGCCTTGAACCAATAGCAGCACATAATCAATCCTTCTTCCTCTCTTTGTTATTAAGGATTCTTCAATTACTTTCTTCCCACACCTCCAACAGACTGCAAAAGGCACACAACTCCACATAATTTTTGCTTTCTTTCCCCCCATTAATCCCTAGCCACTTTTTAAAGGTTTCCTTAGGCAACTCAGTGTCCCACCCTTCTATGTTGAAGTGACAAAAGAAGAATAACCATATGCAATTAATATAAACACAGTCCTTTCCATAAGATCAACGAGAAAATTGACAATAAGCCTTTTGCAAATTTGGGAAAGGCTGCAACCTTCTATTTGTGGTAAAAATACTCAGTTTACCATCAATGAGAATTTCACATTCCACACTTTTGCTTTCCAACGCAGGAAGAACTGTCAGTACCCAAAAAAACTTCCCAAGACACTGAAATATACAGAAAGATTCCTTTTTTTTTTGATAAGTAGCAAGATTTCTTGTTGGAAAGATTTCCTGTTGGACAAGAACGTTTTACTAAAAACATCCATAAACTTAGGAATTAAAACCCTTGTAGGCATAATGATAGAAACTAACAGCCAACCTCATAAGGATAACAAGAACTTCATGCTCTTGGCATTATTTTGTTCTTTGGAATCACGGGAGACGAACCCATAAGTCAAATAATTAAAATTTCGGCAACCATTTTTAGCAACTTGTCTGTGGAAACGAATAGCCAAACGCAGGTCTCGGTTGGCCAAGCAAGCAGTTTGTGGGCAAGTGGGTCATGGCAATTGAAAAACGAATAATGTAGAAAAGTAATATAAACAAATGACTGCTCACAGATTCACCGCTCAAATTCATGTATGTCTGCGGCTTTGCAAGGAAAATTGGAATATCGCCGACGTAACCTGAACGAATAAAAGCTCCAGATTAACAATACAGACTGAACAATATAGTGAAACTGAAATTTCTTAATGTAAACATCAACTAATGAAAAAAAAAAAAAGGTATTAAACAAACCTTGTCCAAAGAGAGCTTTGCAGTGAACAGTGTCCACTGAAATCCCTAGTGATTTTGCACACGCATCGATCATCTCGAACCCTACCTGTGTTTGGCCATTGTTGATTCAGACAGAGATAGGGAAATTATGGGTTTAAATGGCGGAATTAGGATTTCAAGATAAACAACCATAAAAAACCCACATTATGTCTTGTTCCTTGGTATTTCTCGCCGGGGTTGCCTAAGCCCACGAAGAGCCATGGATGAGATGAAGCAGTGGAGAACCAATGCCTGGACACCCTGCTAAGCATTTCCTGTGTATTTTAGAAGGCCTCCCAAGCTCAACGCCGGATTTAGTATGATTTTTTTATTTTGTACTCAGATTGCATTCACCAGAAATGAAAGTTTTCTTTGAAAATATTATTCAAAAAGATATGTCTTTTTCTTGATTTTTCATTCTTGAATGGAGGGCTGAGGAAGGCAAAGCGTGCTTTAAAGTTTAGAGAGAGAAGTGCAGAAGAGGGGAAAACGATATATCTTTTAAATCGGGGGCAATTTGGTCTTAACAAAAACATTTTCTTCCCTCTCACCATTTTTGCAATTAATTTTCTTTAAACATGCCTGAATATGTAAACTGAACAAACTTGGTTATTTTTTATGCAAAAAGTCCTTTATTTTTTTATTTATTTATTCTAACAAATTTTGTTTTACACCCATTTTTCATGTTTTTAAATTGAGGCTATTATTTTAGTTGATTTTTTTGTATGGATTTGTTATTTAATTTAGGGAAAATTCTACATTAGTACCTATATTTTAGAGGTAGCATCAAGTTAGTACCTGAACTTCAAATTGTATTATTGCAACACTTAAACTTTCAAAAACTGTCAAGTTGGTCCAAAACTATTAACGGATGTTAAGTATCATATAAAAGGACCAAAGTAGCCTTCATCTATCATCTAATTTTCTTCTTATTCATATCGGATCTCTAACCACCCCCTCCATTTCAACGACTCTAGTTGCAATTATTAGGTCCTACATCGTTGTTGCCGGTGGCACCTCTGAATTTGAAGATGCCCCACTCACCATGAAGATGTACAACCTTAATTCACGCAAGTGGAAGATGTACCAACCCATGCATGCCATCCTCATGGGCTCTACTGCCACCACCTAGCTCTTGATCATTGTCTCCAAGGGCAAATTCTTCGTATTGGAGAAGACCTTTGGTGTCATTTGCACATTTAACCCGGAAAAGAAGATGTTGGATTTTAATCTCATAAGAGATTAAATCCAATGGGTTTGATTGGTCAATTAGATCAACGGTCACGATTTGGTCGGGTGTGATCAAGAAGCACAATTCAAACTTAATAGTCATTAATTGTTAACTACATTTTAAACAGTCACAATGTTTGCTGGTTGCAGATTCTTGCCCAAGGCTCTGTTGTATTCTGAGAACGAATTTTCCTGTAACCCAACAACAAACTCAGTAAAACTGAGTGGGAGCAAATAGCGTTCTAAAGACAGTGTTTTCAAACGCGCCTCAAAGCTTCTCCTCCAAAGTTTTCAGTGACCCCATTTTTTCCAACAGAAGATGTGGGGAGGTATGTTCAATTTACACTTTTGACGTAGAGAAGAAGTGGAAGGTTTGGTCCTGCCATATGAAAGAGTAGTCGTTGGGCTTATTATTAGAGATTGTAATGAAGAAAATTTTCCTCCATTTTTTCTATCTCAGAGCTTCGAAGTTGAGAGCGATTATAGGGGAAACTAGTAAGAAAGACAACGAACAAGTGTTGAAAGTGTTAGAAGCCCATGAAACAAGCTTCAAACGATCTTAAAAAGAGGCCAAGTTTGGGAAAAGATGCATCCACCATTAAAGCTCTACTAGAGCTTGAAACCGAGGACGACAACATCCTATCTAGCGATCCAAATTTGTCAAGGCTCTCCTGTCATCTCTCCAACCTCAAAACCCTCGTCAATAATCTCCAACGACCACAAGGCTACAGTCTCCAGTATTTTCCTCCGCCACAATGGTCTCCAACCATGAGATCTCTCGGATTGTTGGCTCCATCGAGAATGAGATCTAGGACCTCTCCAACCTCAAAACCCTCGTTGACAATCTCCAACAACCACAAGGCTATAGTCTCCAGTCTTTCTTCCATCACTGATTCTCCACGTATGATATCTCTTGGATTGCTGGCTCCATCGAGAACGAGATCCAAGTTTGGATAGAGAATCTCGGGAATTTCCCTACATGGGCCCGTCATCGAGGAAAATAAGATTAAGTTCTTGATTCAGTTTGACAGTTGGGTGTCTCAGGGCTTCAATGGAGATTTACAAGACTCGCTTCTTAAATCGAAGGTCTTCTCGAAGCTTGAATGTGTTCTCTGTGACTCCAAGTGTTCCAAGCGGATCCGAGAGCAATTAACTCTCGCTATGGCTACTTTGGTTCGCTTCAACAAAGACATGTTTGTGGGTCAAGTGTTGATGGGTACAACTGTACGCGCACTAGTGTTCAAGGGTTCAAATTCATTAGTTCACGTTCTTTGTTCTCTTATCAAGACAATCCAATTGTGGCTCAGTGTCTATTATGGTTCAGTCTTAAGGTAAAAGATAATGAATAGTGTTTTATTTTCAAGGGTAATTTTGATCTTTTCAAAAATTTTAAGTTGCACATGTCGTCACGTGGTAAGATAATTGATGGATTGTTAACAATAGGGACTAAATTGACAATTTTTGGAAGTTTAGATACTACAATGGCATGATTTGAAGTTCGGGTACCAACTTGACACTACCCCTAAAGTACAAGGTACTAATATGGAATTTTAAATTTAAATTAATAGATTAAATCAAGTTTTATTTTTAAATAATACTTTACCTTTTTAAGGAAAAAACACCTTACTTTATAAATCCTATATTTGAAATGAATTTTTGCTTTTATTTTTCTTTTCAACTAGTAATTAAGCACTATGAATTTTTTTCATATTAATTACTTTAATTTTAGATATATCATAGTTAGTATAGAAATTGAAAATTAATAAAAATAACAATATGTTTAAAATAAACCTAAATACTTGTACTAAATGTGCACTTGTAGAAATTTTAAATTACAATAACAATTATTATTATTATTATTACTACTACTACTACTACTACTACTAAAGTTTGTATTCCATTTCTATCTTAAATAAAAATAATTTATATTTAATGTGATGATTATATAACATTAGAAATGTTTTGAAATGTCTTTGACAAAACTCTGTACTTTTTTATGTTTTGTGTTTTATCTTTTTTTAATATTTATTATTCAATTATGACATCATGAATTTCTTTGAAAAGTTGGGCCAATGACCCACTATTTAAATAAGAAAATAGTTTTGCTTTCAGATCAGTTTTCAATTATACATTTCATCTATATTACATACATAATTTTTACTTATCACACAATTTTTGTTTGACATAATTAATATATATTTTTATATATTCTTTTGATTACTTGTACTTTTTTATTATTTTTAAGTATTTATTATTTTACTATTATATCACCGATTAATCCATTTGACCTAAACGACTAACCCACAACCCAAAAAGAAAAATAGTTTGATTTCTAGGTTGACATTAAATTTTGTATTACATTTCCATTATTGATAAAATTATATCTTATGTATAATATTTATTTTTGTGATTCTTTGTATTTTCTATTTTTTAAAATTTTATTATTTGACAATGACATCATTTCATTTCTACGTCGATTTTAATTTTGGCATTCTATTTTCATCATTTACAAAAACACTTCTTACATTTCATACTTATTTTTGTTCAGTATAATGAATATATAAATATTAAGGACATGCCAATTCTTTTTTTGTATTATATATTTTATTTACTTTAATATTTTATTATTTATTTATGGCATTATTTATTAACGAATTTAACCCCAAATGGTTGAATTGCTTACCCATCACCGAGAGGGAAGAAAATGGTTTTGTTTCCAAATTATTTTTCAAAATATTTATGTTTATATTATTAAAATTAATGTTCTGGATTTAGTTAGTAGAATTTAATGATGAGAAAAATATATCTAAAACATTTCTTATTTATAATCAATGTTTTCAACTTATTGTTGACTTGCTCGATTGAACCATTCGAACCATCACTCGGCCTTGATTCTAGGTTTTGTTTTGTTGAAACTCTCCACTTTTGATTAAAAACTATCTAACTTGGGCGGTTCAACCACTGACCTATTTGACCCAGTAACCAAGTCGTAGGTCGTGCACTTAATTATGTGCAAACTTTTGGAAGTCATAACTTTGCACTCCGATGTTCGATTGGGGTTTATCTTTTTTTTTTTAGGAACTTTTCAAGATCTATACATCCCAAGGGTATTATGAGCCTTGCCTTTCTATTTTCACGAAAAAAACCTATTTTTTGGCCCTAAATTGCAATTTTTAATATTTTTATAGATAAAAAAATTAAAACGGAATTAAAAAATATATAAATAAATGTAACATAATACATATATTGTATGTAATATATGTAAAACATAATTATAAAATATATGTAAAACATAACTATGCTATATGTAAAACATAATTATACTATTTATTGATAAAATATATATTTTTACACACACACACACACACATAGTTTTGACGCAGAGCAATTTGACTCATTTGAAATTCACAGTTGAACTGGTGACCTATGACCTGAAGGCAAAAGCGGGTTGGCTTTCAGGTCGGTTTTTAAAACATTGTTTATCATATTTATTATTGTTTAATATGTCAAATATATGATGTTAAAAACATTCCCATATTTTTAATTTCTATATTTTTTTCATTTTATTATTTAATTGTGGCAACATGGATTTACCCATTTGACCCAAATGGTTTAATTTCTTACCACCACGTAGATGAAAACACTATTTTTTCTAAGTAGATTTTAAAAGTATAAGTTTTTATGTTATTGAAATTGTTAATTTATTTATGTATCTATTAATTATAGAGTTTAATGATGAGAAGAAATAAAGAAAACCTTAAATATATGATTCAATGAAGGTGAATACAAATTAATACCTTAAATATTGAATTTAATGAGAAATAATTGAATGCATTGAATATCTTAAAATTAACTCTTTTCAACTCATTTAATATCAATAACTAATTACCCTATTTGGCCTCATTTTTTATCAATAAATTTAAATATAGAGGGGTAAGTATTGTCATCACAAAATTCCAGAAATATTCTTGAGGATTTTTGTACTTTTTAAAGTAGTATAGATGTAAGTAACTACCGCTTAGACACATCCAAAGAAGAAAATTTTTGTTGAATATATATATCTGTGTGTGTGCGTGCATTGCGCGTGGCAATTTCAAATGATGATGATGATAATAATATTTTAGTGTTTTATTGGAACTCAAGTAACAAAGAAAAGTCACCAAAGCATGATGTATTGGTAAGTATGTTGTCTTTCAATCTAAAGACCTTTAGCTTCAAATGTC